TCGCGGGGGACACACAACCGTCCCCCTCGAGCTTTGCACTCGTTCAGAGTCGTTCTTGTGTTCATTCTTGGGCTTCCCTTGTTGTGTGCGTCCACTCCTGCTGGTATTTTATCGTTGGGTTCAACAAAGCTTGTATTGTGTGAGACTTGCCTCGCGGGGGGCGCGCAACAACCCCCCCGGAAGCATTGTGCGCTGTTTGACATCTGTTGTATGTCCAACGAAACTTTTGGTATTCGCATTCCACATTGCAAACTGATTTGTGATAGATTTTTGCTCTTGATTATCGTCCTTGAGCCACAATACATCGGTTGCGTAGTCGTGAATGGCATTGAATGCTTCCAATAGTGGTTTTCCGAATAGCATTGCCCATGCGCCTCTGCTGTCGAAGATCTCGAAAGTACCGTGTCGTTTCAATCCCTCTACTTCGACTAGTCCCTGCCACATTCCGTTGGATGCAATTACTGTAGCATTTTATTCAGTTCGTATGTCACGTGTCACAGTAGCTATAAAATTCGAAATTTTTTCGTATGTCACACCATTTTGCTCAAAATCCTCTCCCAAAAAGGCAATTTATGACATTTCCGGGCGCCTCCGGCGCCAAGAGCTTCCTAATTAGGAAATAATTCGAATTGATATTTTCGTATTGAATGTCACACCACTTTGGGCATGCGAATTGAATAAAATACAACAGTATTCTTCTATCGGCCATGCGTAAAGTTCGCCTTGATGTTACTGCTGGGCGAAGCCTATGCTTCACTTGTTTGAAAACCCCATGGTCAATCGCGTTAATCATTGCTCCGTCGTCAAATACTGCCCTGATTCGGACAACCTCTCCTTGAGGTCCTGCCAGCTTGGTTTGATAGACGAATGGTACCGAATTTTGCTTCTCCGCACTTACGTCCCCGCACCGCATACAAGTCAATTGTGTTGTCATTTGCGAGTGAGTACATAGGTTCCATCGGACTAAGCAAATTGGGCGCCAAGTTGTCGCCGAGACGAGCCTCCGCGACCTCGGGGACTAGTGAGCGTTGAAGCGTGTTCGTGATTTGGGCCACTGGCTGAGCATGCTCTAAGCCGACGGCCCTTCCCCTTTTCCCTGTTCTCCGTACATCTCCCCCGTCATCTGTCCGTATGAGTCATACATGCCAGGTACCATGCCCGGCGGCGCGAACATGTACACTGGCTGGGCTGCATATGTGTTGTTGTGATGTTCAGGTACTGCGATATAGCGAACCGGGACTGGGCCTTGACCCCCTTCCTGCTGTGCTTGCCCCGCGTCTCGATATATGCTGCCCGCGATTCTCCGCCACTTGCTTTCCAGTTCTGGCATCGATGGGTTCTGGCAAGTTGTTGCCAAGTGTCCCGTGAATCCGCAATTAAAGCAAGCCCCGCGTGCATTCAGGGCAGCAGAGCCGGGTCGAAGGGGGTATGGCTGGTATTTGTTCGTGCGTCCGTTTGGATGTTTTGCCTGCCACTCCTGCACCTGTCAGGCTGTGCTTGATACGCTTGCCGACCTGCCTCGTCATTGTCGTGGTGTCGCGGTATATTCTTCTCCAAGTCTGCTAGGCGTTCCGTTGCTGGCCGATTGACGCGTGCTTGCGCCATCGCCATCGCTATTGGGCCGTTCCAGCTCGTGCACGGGGGGCCCCGCTGACGGGCCCTGCGAAGACATATGGATAAGGGGCTTGAACAATTCGTTGTAGCGTGTTTGCTGGTGGCGTAGAATATGTCCTTGTCGTAGGTACTTTAGGGATTCCCTGTTGCTGCTTCTGTTTCAAGAACTCGATTTTGGCGATGGGCAACGCGTTGCATGCGGTTTGGAATGCTTGCCAATCTGTGTATGTTGTTCCTGGTTCTAGCAATTCTTGCATAACTAGCGGCAGTTTCGTTCGCACTTGGTCGATTAACAGACCCGCCGTGTCTGGGATTCTTTCCGCAATTTCCCTCATTCTTCTCGCCCACACAACATGTCCCCACTGCTCAACTCCTCCGTCTTGAATCTTGGTTCCGATGTCCTCCACCTTCAGCTTCACTGCCTCCTCCATAAGCTCTCTGACAGCTTGTGCACCCGTCGCCTTAACATAAACGCGTGGTGGCCATCGTTTTTCGAACTCAGTTGTCAGCGTTGCCCAGGAAAGCGCTACCGGCGGGTTTGCAGCTGCAGCTGTCGCCTTCTGCGCCATTAACCAGTCCTCTGCCTGGCTCGCTGATGCAACTGAAAGCTCAAAGTGTTCCACTTTTTGCGCATCTGTGAACGCAGTCGTGCGCTTCAAAAAGAATCTCTTCATCGCCTTCAAAAAGTCCTGAGGATTCTCTCCCGGTCGCGCATCACCATAAAACACAACCTCTGTGTCTGGCATATCGTCGTCGTCTGGCGTAGGCTGTGGTTGTAGCCTTGTTTTCGGTTGGGGTCGTGGTGGTAATGGGAGTGGAAGTGGACTCGGAAGTGGGAGCGGGGGATGAGCCGATGCTGTTGAATCGGGGCCTGCGGATGGTGATGGTGGTAGTGGAATAGATTCCGGTGTGAAGCTGAATGTCGATATTGACTCCCAACCTCCTCCGATTCCAGTGTAAACTGTTGGCGGTGGTGTTGTAAGTCCCGTCTTGAAACGCATGAAAGGCGAGCAATGGTGAATGCAGAAACAACTCCACAAACAACCAAAACACCCAAATCAAGGTCTGTGTGTTCGGGGCTCCATGGAAAGTAATATATCCATGCTGCAACCCATAAGAGCAAGATGATGATGATCAAGTTGAGGTGGTGAAGGTGGTGTGAGTGTGATGGGATCACTGATGACAGTGATGATGTTGATGATGGGAAGTGTGCTACTGGTGTTGATGGTGTGCAAGGTGGTGTTGGTGGTGGTCTTGTTGATGATAATGATGATGTTGAGTTGGGTGGAGAGGAAGGAGGTGTTGATGTAGGATAGGACAGATATGACATACAGAGCATGCCTCTTGTAGCCAAACATCCCCACAACAACAACCCACTCCAAAATGATCCCAACCCAAAATCAACACCAAAACCCAAAATGGTAGTGGTCACAGTCACAGTCACAGCTGGTATGTTGTTGATGAAAGTAGATACATTACCTGTCCCTTGTGTTGTCTTCATACTTGAGAGTAGAACAACTAGCATCAAGAGCATCAGTTGCCACACCATAAATGGCATAAACAACTCCAATATGGGTCGCTCCATCCAAAAGAGGGCGACGTTCCATAAAGGGAAGCGCATCTGAGCATAGTTTCCCCATCTTCATGTCTTCACATCAAGCTAGCACTCCAATGTCCTATAAAACAAATCAATACTCGTTCAACAATCAGAGGTTCGTCGTCGTCGTAGGTGTTCTTGAGGGTAGCAAGTTCAACTTTCCACTATGGGGAGCAATAGAACTGCTATGGGGGGCGCGTTGTATTCTGGGGCCTATGCTACAATACAGCGCGAATATATACCTAGGGCCGTCACAGCCTTACATAATCCCTGGCCGCGGCTGCCGGTCACATGTCTCGGTCTGAGACAGTTTCAGACGCTTGTTTCGTCTCATCCCGCTTCAATCTACCCCCTTAATGCATACTGAGACGTCTCAGTCTCTCGCGTTTTGCTTCAGCAAGCGTTTTGAGCTCATACACGTCCCATGTCGTGTTTCGGGGCCTCCGGCCGGCCACGGCCCGGTCCGAACTGTTCCAGAGTGATTTTGGGGGTCAAAAGCACCCCCAAGCGGCGCTTCCAGCTCTTTTCCCCCCACCTACGCGTCCCGGCGCTCGACAGTCTGTTCGCGACTTCTCGGGAGATATCGACCGTCAGGTCCTCTGGGCTGTAGTGCTTTTGGCGGCACTTTGTCTGTAGGCCCTTGTCGTTGGCCTCGTGTTTATCGCGTGTTTCGGTGTTGGTGCAATGTAGCAGTCAGTAGTTAGGTTTTGAAGCCGTCTTTCGGAGTCACGTCGTTCGCTGTGTGGGTTCGAATTTCACTCTCATCACCAAGATGGAGACGGGCGGTTTGGCTAATCTGACTGGTAGATGGTGGTAGCAAGATGCGTTGTTCCGCCTCGAGGCGCCCTTGGGCTAATTGTACAGATATTATCTAATCTATTCCTTTCTTCCTCACTAGGGTGCTGTGAGTAACTGTGGTTTCGAAACGGTTTTGAAACCGGTTTCGAAACACATGTTAGTTTTGAATGCCGTGGCCGGCCGACCCGGTTTCGAAACCGACACGTGATCCTCCGGCAAGCCCGGGCCTGCTTGATGCCCCAAGAATATCACCTGCAGTCACCTGCCGAAGGCCAAGCAGGTGAGTTTCCCCAGCAGTGGAGCCATCTCTGCCACCAGCTGGCCTTGGCCCATGGTACGCTTCTCGGGGTTATGATACCCGGGCCTGTCCCCGGCTGCCAACTGTCAGCGGACCCCCCGGGCCGGCCGGTTTCGAAACTGTTTCGAAACGGGGGGTGTTTCGAAACCGGTTTCAGAACCGGTGTAAGTAATGCATTTTGCATTACTCACAGCACCCTATTCCTCACTTCGCCCCACTCCACATCATGTAAAGTTGTCTTGTCTAGGCGGAGGAAGAGAATCGAGTGCCACGTAGTGACATGTTTCCCAGGCTGTCAGCGCGTGTGGACTTTGAAGCCAAAGTCTAAGTAAGCTGAACAGGTAAGGTCTCCTCAATCTGGTTTGAGAATTCATTACAAGTCAGGTGAACGTGGAACTCTGCAGACTTCATCCAAGTTTTGTGTGTGAACTGTACCCTGTTAGAGACTTAGACTCTACGAGTAGTAAGTACGTCGGCCCCCTAAACTAAAAAGCTTCCACCGCACGCACTCAACTGCCCCCCACGCACCCAGTCCCCCCAGGCCCGACTTGCTGCTATCCGTCGCATCGTGAGCCAGCCGTCTGCCGTTCAAACCCACACGCGCTGATATTAGTCCGGAGGCGCAGCTTGTTCCATTTTGCCACAGAAAGCGTGGATATACTGCAACTACATACACCCGATACTCCGCCCTCGCTACCTGAGCTCCTCCGGCCACTCCGCGCGCCGTCTCCACCGCCCATCCCTATCGAACCGCGGATTCGGCGCGTACGCCCGCCCGTCGCTCCCCGCCCGCCCGATGGGCACTGCAGCAATCAGCACGGCGAGAAGGAGAAAAAAAGAGAAGCGAGCGCGGAGGGACATACGTATCCAGCCCAGCCAACCGGCGCCCATGACGTCCTCCCACGCCGCGCGGTACGAGCCCGGCCACCACAGGTTGCCCTCCGTGTCCGGCGCGCCCCACTCGGCGTCGTAGGTTCTCAGTGTGGCGCGCTTGCCGCTGTTGTGGAATCGGATCAGGACGCGGTGCGCAAACCGACGCAATGAGAACGCACCGCACGTCCCACCAGGGATGCCCCTCGCTCGCCAGCTGGGCAGACTCGCGGTCCTTCAGCGTGCGCACCACGAGGCCCTCGACAGTCGTCTGAGTCAGCAGGATCATCCGCACGTGGGCAAAGAAAAGCGATGCGGTGAACAGCAGAAACAGCGCACTAAGGGCGACAATGACAGCCTCCTGCGGGTCGATGGCGCCCCCATCAACCACGTTGACCGCCAGGAGCGAGGAAAAGGTGTACGCGCCAAGAAGCATGGCGGAAAGATTGAAGATGAGGAAAAATTTGTGGTTCCGCGCGCCGACGCATTGGCCGATCCAGGGACAGTGATGGTCGAACTTGAGGACGCACTGAAAGCACTGAATAACAAGGAGGGGAGGTTAAATGGCAACGCACAGTCCCACACGCCCGACAGTGATGCGCGCGGTAGGGCTTGACGATTTTGCAGCGGGAACACCAGCGGTTGGCGGGGAGCAGCGGCGCCGTGGTCGGCGGCAGGCGGCCGCGGGTCGGACGGAGGGATTTGGACGACTGGCGTGTGGGCAGGGGGGGTATTGGGGGCGGTGGTGGTATTGGTATCGGCTCTGTTCGATCGCGGGCCTGCTGCTCGTACGCCGGCCCGCCTATCCTCCCGGCCTCGATGTCCTCTAGTGCCTGCGGGTCGTCCCACGTCGTCGGCGGCAGCAGCGGACGGTCCGACTTGGCGACATACTAAAACGCCCATCAGCAACCCACGGCCAGAAACCCAAGTCAGTGCACCGACATCGCACGCATCGCCGGGCGGCGTCGAGACAACCTGTTCGTCAGCCAGCGCTCCTCAACACCGCAGAGCCACGCACCTTCACATACGCCCACACCGTCCACAGCCACAGCACACTCCACGGCACCAGCAGGCCCACTACCCGCGGGTCAACTCCCGTCCCTCCTCGAGCAGCGATGCACGCACCTCCCAGCCCGTCCCGGCCCCCCGCAACCAGCCTCCTCACAAACCGCCCCGCATAGACGTAGGCCGCGTAGCCCAAGATCCCGAGCACTATCGGCAGCATGAGCTTCAGCACCACCCACGGCTGCGGCCTTTCACGCCGTGCCTCGCGGCGCTCGCGCGCAGTATACGCCGCCTCGGATATCGTCCCGCAGAACGTCGGCTTAGCCTTGGGCGGCGCGGGCGGGGTCGGGGGCGCGCCGTTCCCGCTCATGGGGGAAGAGAAGAAGAAGGGGATGGATGACGCAGCCGCCGTGACGTGGCGCCGCGTGATGCGATCGATATCAGCGTCCCCGATCGGCCGACTGACGTGATGAGAGTGGTGTAAGCGCCTCCACACAACACAACAAATACAATGAATCGAGGGCGCGCACCTGGAGACCCTGGGGCCTGGCTACAAATTGATTACACACGTGGGATGTGCTGTACATGCTCCAGTTCACGTCTCTGAATGAGCCGTTGGGAATAAGTAGGCAACATTAATAGGCATTGAAGACAAACACATACATTCTGTTTACGAAGCTCAACTTGTCCTTGTCCAAAGCACTAGAAAGCTGGGGCAGGGGTTTGAAGCATGGTGCAAGACACCAGTTTTGAACATGTAGGATCATCATGACTATTGTTGTGTCACAAATTTATTTTTCTCTTGATCAGGCCTGACTGCTGGATTAGGCCTGATCAGTGTCTGATCAACAGTATATCCACCTATAGTGCCCGCTTATCCCCTCTAGTTAGAGGGGCAAGGGGGGGGTTCCCCCTCTAACTAGAGGGGTTTGACGCTTCGGCCTATGCTTCCTTAAACTTCGTTGCGAGCGTTAGTGGACACGGGTCTTTGGCGAGCGAGGTGGGTTAGTGGACACTGGCTTTGGTGGGGGGAAAGGCCCCGGCATCGGGGAGCGTGACTGATGACAGGTTGTCATCACCGTTTGACACCCGTCGGTCACTGTCGTCGGCGAACGCATCACATCCCGATCAAAAGGTCAATGCTCGGTGTTCGTGGTGTGGCCGCCTAAGCCGCTCGCTGTCCCGCCATGATGGCGCATCAAAAAATCAAATTCATTCTATTTGTGATATAATTTAGCTGGGTACAAAGGAAAAGTTGATAGCTGTACTACTTATTGAGATAGAAAGCATTTGATCTAGTGATTCGTGTGGTGTCCACTAACTGCGTGGCTTGCAACAGTAGTAGGTAGGCTCATGTACCCTACCACATAATATAGAGGCCAAAGGTAAAGAGGTATAATGAGGTTATAGATCCTATGAGCCCCTTGCCCCTCTAACTAGAGGGGATAAGCGGGCACTAGAGGATGAGCTACTGTTCCTGGTCAATGGCTGACTCTGCTACACATGCACTATGTGAGGTAGCAGTGCACAATATGTGATATAGCCCAACTGGAGGTGGTGTGTCTACTGACATGGTGTACCCAGTGACCACATGGTGACCCAACTACAGTGGCGTCCACTAACTTCCGGGCCAGGGAGGTTAGTGGACACCATCATACTTGCCGCCACTATACCACATTGTTAGTGGACACACAATCTCATTCATGGTTCTTGTCTTCTGCTATACTTAACAGTGCTTCAAATTTGTCCATCACTTCCCCCTCATCATCAGTGTGATCCTCTACATCCTCTGCATCTCCATCATCACCTTCATTGGTAGCTTTCTCCTGTCTTGCCGACTCAGCCAATGCCCTGTCTATATCCTGCTCCCCCTCACCATGCCTCTCCACTTGAATTACGGACCTTCGAATGGGACATAGACCAATCCCTGGCTCAATCGACCCAGTGAAGCCTGGCAACTTGCTCAACTTTACCAGTCTTTGTCGGTGGATCTTGTAGAAACGTCCCTGCAGCATCCGATACTTCCTCACCTGCAGTGCTCTGCCCATGTTCCCCTCCCTTTCTAGTCGCGCTTCATGGTGTCGGAGAAACCCTCGCTCCTCCTCCATCCAGGTCACAAATCACTTGATCTCCGTATTTAGCCTAGTCCGCTCCTCCTCTGCACGATCTAGCTTGAAGCTGAGATCCATGGTTGTCCGAGCCCCCGGTTGAGCCCATGCTGCCTCACGGATATCCTCCCTTCCAAGTCGTAGAAGGTCAAAGTCGTCCAGCATTTCCATATCGAATATGTCCATCCAAGTTAGGGTAGGTCGATCTCCCAAGTCCTGTGCTGCTCCATTATAAGCTTCCAGAGCCCTTCGAAGGGTCTGAGATCCCGCTTGAATGGCCTGTGCAATATGCCGACGCATTTTATAGCCTGTGATGTGAGTTAGTGGACACCGCACACAGTTAATTAAACTTACCAGTCTCTGCCATATTCGCCTTCGAAAGTTGTAGAATCCGAGACACAATGAGTGCCTGTAGCCGGTCTAGAGACCTTTGGTATTGATGCTCCCTGACCAGTTTCTCCATCTCTAACCATTCCTCCATGCCAGGCTTCCATCGTTCCTCATGTCCGATCTCCAATCTTCGTTCCAAATCTTCCACCATCGCAATGCATCGTTCCCGACGGTCTAAAGCACGTCGGCGCTGGCTTTCTGTCTTCCGAAGAGTCCTTATCACATCGTCATAGTCAGGATCATCCACAGATGGCATGAACACAACGTCCGCATTCATGATTTCTTGCACCTTCTCTCTAGAGATGTATAAGTGCCACGCATTGAACACTTGTCATAACTCACTCAGCATCCATCATATCCACCAGCTTTCTCCACAGCTCCATTTTCAGCGTCTCTTCAGGGGGTTCTTTAGACAGGCTTTCAAGCGCCCTTATCTCTTCTGACAGCCACTGGGAGAATATATGCCGATCTTCAGGATTAAGACCGAGCATCTCCATTGCCTCCTTGAGTTGGGGCTTCATTGCAAGAATTCCCAGGGCAGCCCGATACTTGCTGTCAATGAGAGACGCTAAGCAACGGACATGTTAACGATTCCAATCAGAAGATATGCATACATACTGATATTGGCCAGTGCATCGAAGTTGTCTGCATGTGCAAAATATTCCACAATGTCTTGTTGACGATGAAATGAGGAGGCGTGACGGGTGGTACCCGGCGAGGGCATTTGATTTGGAGAAAATGCTCTCTGCATTCTCTGAGCCTTTGAGGCCACTGCCCACTGTATAGATTGGCATCTTGAGCAGTTGGCATAGCCTTTTGTGTCCAGTACCATGGAAAGCTCCAACTACAGCCTCAAATCCATGCCGATGAGCAACGGGGCCGCATAGAGGGTGGGTGTAAACCCATTGCTCAAACTTGCAGCCGATATCATACCCTAGACGAAACTTCCCAAGGATGCACAGCAGGTGATACGTGGCAGCTAGGCCATATTTTGCTCTGCGAGAAGTTAGTGGACCAGGAGTTAGTGGACATGATGGACTCACAGTTCACTGCTCTTTATCATGTCGCAAATCGAATGGCACAGGCAGTGTCAACAAGACCGCGAAGAGGCCAGTTTCCTTGTAGATGCCGCGGGCCAGCTTCACCACATGCTCTTTCATGTTATGCCAGTCCTCCCCACAACCGCTGTCCCTCGACGTATACTTCGGATTAGGTAGGAAGTCGTTGACCAGCTCTTGAAGGCTTTCCTTTGAGAATCGATTGACTTCTGCAGGTGGGATGTAATAATCACGGGGAGCAACACGGGTGTCGATTGCCTCAATTGATGCCCCAGCGACTTTGCTGCCATCAGGGCCCAACTGGTATTCCCTTCGCTCCACTCTCTTCAACGAGTTGTTACCGTCCATTGTGAGAAAGAATGGAGGGTCAAGCGGCGTCTCACCCTCCACCTTATAATGGCAGCAGGGACAAGCATTTTGCACTCGCCAATTCAACCCATCGCGCCCCAGCTCCTTGGCTACTCTCAGCCGAATCACTTCCTTGGTGCGCAGGAACAAGTCATATGCCTGGGTGAACTGTGTTTGCAGATAAGGCCGGGGAGCAATGCCATGCATGTCGTTCAGCCCACGTAAAAATGCTTGCTTTCCCAGGCGAGGGCAGCGCATGCGAAGGGAATGGAAGGCGTTGAGAGTGCGGGCCGTGAATACCACTGTGGCAAAGTATGGAGTGCAGGGGAACAAGCCCTGTCGAACGAGCGTCGGCGCTATTGTACTGTCACCAGCACAAAATGGCACTAAAACATAGTGCTCCTCTTGAAAGAATACGTCAGTGAAGTACCAAATAGAGAGAATGCCACACACCAAAGAGATCCACCACATATGTGGTGCGCTCAGCCTGGACCACCGCCCCCTCTGGTAGCTGATAGGCGGCGTTAGGTCCATGCTCTTCTGCAAATAGCTCCCATGCCTCAAACGCGTCCGCAATATCTTCAATTTGTCTCTCGAAGCCGTCAACGACCAGTTTAGTACGGCCGCGCCCGATATCTTCGAGGGGTGCGGAGACTGGAGGCATGTTAGTGGACGGCCAAAAAATGACGGTGAAGAAGAGAATACCCATGTTTTGCCAAATATGCTGCATAGATCTCGTTGACTTCCAGCGGTGTCGCAGCCATTGGAACCTCCCCTTCTGCAGAGATGTCCATGGGTATGCGACCTTCGAAGACATCAGATTCATAGGTGTTGTCGATGTCCATCTCAGAAGGCCGTTGAAGCTCAGCAATGGCCCTCCTTTCGCGCCCGCGTTGCAACTGACAGACGGTGAGCAAGCAGCATGGCATTCTACTTCACATACCCAGTCTGCGATGTCTTTCAGCAAGGTGGTCCGCCTCTACTCGCTGAGCTGCTTGGGCCTTGTTGAGAATGGAACGTTTACGTGTACCCGGGCGACCATATACAGGAGCGTCGGCTGGAGTGATTTGCAACTTGGAGGGCTTACGACCTTGCACTCGGCGCACCGACATGACTGGGTTGTTGAAGGTTTGATGGGAGTCACATGTCTTGATGGGAGTCACATGTCCAGACACGGCCCTGACTGTACCACCATCTCATTTGACCACCCCATCTCATCTCACACCGGTACGTGTGTATCCACATCTGGCCCGTCAGAAGAAACAGGCCAGAGAAATAGCGTTGGGCGGTCATCGACCACGCCCTGCTGCTTACACCAAGTGGGCCACTCAAACGGACACCATCTCCACCCCGCTCAAAACTCCCGAGCTCAAGGTCGACCACGGCGCATATCGAGCCACCATGCCGCAAGCAAGTGAGCTGAAAGGCTCCAAGAAGGAACGCGGGGTGGATGAATTTTTGAAGCT